CGTCCGGGCAGTTTCTGTGAGTGCGAGATAAGGGAGGGCCCAGAGCGTGCAGGTGGGGATGCCTTGGGGGCCTGGTGGTCTCAACTTGAAGAACAGACTTAAAAGATCGATGGACTTTCATGACGGGTACGCCTAGACTGGGGCCCAGAGTCAGTTCAGAAGTGGCAGAAGAGCTGGAGACAACTACCTGCGGAGACCTGACAGGCCATCTGCAATAGCCTGTTCAGAGAAAAGGGGTGCCTTGGGCAGCCCATCTGCAGGGAGTTCGGCGGGCAGGGGAATGAGCGAGGGTTGGACCCAGCAGGACTCCCCTGCATCAGAGCTGGAGTCCAGCTTCAGGGTTTCTCCCCTGTGCTCTCCGGAGCCCAGAACCCCAGCTGCTCGTTTCCCCGGACTGTGTCTTTGTTTGGGCTACCCTCTGACTCAGGCCCCAGGGCTCATCTGTTTCCGAGCCTCTCTGTTTTCTGCAGGGGACCGGTTGCCATCCAGTCGGTTTCAGCTTATGAAGACTACCAAGGTGTCGTTGACCTAGAACCATTCTCCCCGGGGTTTTCCAGGACTCCATGGAAGGCTTTCTTCTGGGAGGATTCGAACCTCCACCCTTCCTGTGAGCAGCCAAACACATTCACGCTTGACAGCACCCCGGAACTCCTTTTCGTAGGCTAAAGAAAAATCAGTATGTGATTATCGGGCAGAGCCCTTGATTTGCTACCTCTGTCCTTTCCGAAGTTCCCTCTGTGAGCCCCCGTTCTGAGCGGACTTAGTCAGCTTCTCTTTGGAGTTGCTCCTCGGCCATAAATCATACGAACCTGTTCATTTTTGCATTCAACCTCTGAAGGCCCGTCGTTAGAACTACAGCCCAGAAGAAAACCCACTGCCATCAGGGCAATCCCACCTGAAGTCAACTCCAAGTCATAGGTGTATGACTGTGAGCAGACAGCCTCATATTTCTGATACAGAATGGCTGGTGGGTTCGATTGACTAACCTTGTGGTTAGCAGCCCCACACTTGACCCACTCCTCTACCAGAGCGCCTTATAGTTAGAGAACATGAAAGCCGTGTGGTATGCCAAAGGAATGCTAGCTCTTCCGAGGGCAGGTTGCTGTCTTGCTTAATGTCTTGGAGAGCAGAGCCTGAACGAGGGCACAGTCGGGCGGGGTGGAGAATCACTGCCGTCAGAAGCCAGGCAGTGGCCCATGGGAGTGAGTCATCAACCTCTGCTTGGCTACTGTTGGTGCCGTGTGCATCTCCTCAAGGATTCTCAAGGCTGTGATCTCTCAGAAACAGGTCTCCAGACACGTCTCCTGAGGTGTCTCCGGGTGGGTTCGAAATTCCAACCTTTGGGCTGGTAGTTGAGCATTTAACCATCTATCTCTACCACCCAGGAACTCCCAGGCTTGTCAAGGTGGACAAAAGCTGAGGAGCCCTGCTTTGAGGGTAATCATGGGCTTTCCCACTGGTGAGGCATTACAAGAAAGCTGCCCAGCCTGCTCCAGGCAGGCCTACCTGCTCTGGCAGGGCCTCAAAGCCCAGGGTGTGTCTCGGAACAGAATGGGCTTCCTGGGGATTTCCGTGGAGGATTTGTTTGTTTGTTTGTTTGTTTGTTTGTTTCAGAAGTGGAACGCCAGACTTTTCTTCTGGGACACCACTGGATAGACTCAACTCCTTCTGTTTGCAGCCAGGTGCTCCCTCTTTGCTCCATCCAGGGACTCGACGTTCACTCAACCCATGTGAGGGATGGTGTATGATGCGAGGGCGTTAAATGGATAGGACCCTTTAGATCAGCGAGGAAGATAGTGATCTCTGTAGACTCTGACTTGCTCAGTCCAGGACATGACACTAAAAACTGTCCCCCCATCTCCCCCACAAAAAACAAGCTTAAAACCATCTTATGAAGAATTGATGAAGAATTTGAGACGACTTCCACTGAGCAGGCTAAAACTCAGCAGTGGGAAGAGGTCCGTGGTAGGTTGTCTTCACGTCTTTGAAGAACTGCTGGGTGAAAAAGGAAGTAGACATGTGCTTGTGGTTCATGTGCTTGTGGTTCCAGGGTCCACACCTGGGTGGGATCAGCGAGTGAAAGACGATGGGAAAAGGACTTGGGTTCAGAATGACAAAGGGATTTCTAACCGTCAAAAAGATCTGCTCTTGGGAAAGGCTGTCTTTGGAAGTAGTGAGCTGCATTTTGCTGGAAACAGTCACAGTGGGAAGCTACCATTGATAGGCAGATAGGCAGGCTGTCGAAGGCATGCTGAATCCAGGAGATGGTTGAAGGCGCTACCTTGGCGTCACTGATGCGCACGTTGTGGGGTTAGCTTCCTGTGAGCATGATGCATGGTATGTGCGTGCCAGTGTGATGGGAGTGCTTAGAAGCAAAAGAGACAGTTGCTTCTGACGTCTCTTGCAGCATCTTGGGAAGGTACCTTGTAGCTGGAAGTGGTGGTTCATGATATTTCATATGGTAGCATGTGTTGATGAGTGTAGAAGTGGCTGGAATTGAACATTCCCTTAGCCCTTCTGTGGCCTTGTGAAAGCCTCTTGCCCCGATCAGACACGTCAGAGGTTTACACACGCAGTTCCTGTGGTGTAGACCAGTACCTCAGCTCCCAGACCTCACAAAAGTAGAGACCACCAGCCTTGGATTCAGTAGTTATAACTGAAGTTATCTTTGAGTACAATTAAAAGGGACACCTCAAAATTAAAACCATTGTTAAAATTAATCAAAGATTTTGAAAGGTAGAGTGAACTCCAGTGCTGAAAATTACTGATTTAAACAATTGTTCTCACATTTTCAACGGCATAATGAGCTAAAAATGATGATGCCTTAGAGTATAGCGGTAAAGAGTAACCTAAAACTGAAGTCAGAATGAAATGTTTTAGCTTTCAAAACTAAAAAGCAGAACAATTACTCCCTACAAAATGGTATAGGAAGGTTTCTGACCCCTGTTAATTGTTTTATTATTCTTCAGAGGGGCATACTGGCAGCCTTCCCCAGGGTTTGCAGTAATTACACTCCATTCAATATCTGAAGAATTACAATAATTCTGCATGGAATATACTTGTGCCCTTTGGATGCAAAGCCTTTAAAGAAGTAAAAAAAAAAAAGAAACACCAAAAACTTAAAAGTAAATGAGCAGGAAAATGACCAGAGCGCGTGTTTATTTCAGGGCTCCGTATAGCAGAGGCTAATGATACATTGTGCGGTGCTTTCTCCTGGAGGCATTTGTAATAGATTTCTCATGCCCACCCACAGACCCGCAGGTTTTAAGATCCTGGAAGTTCGAACTTAGCTGAGCACCCCTTTGGCTTGGAGAAATGATCCCTGTCACTTGACGCTTGTCAGCGTCCTCGAAGCGTTCAGTCGGGAAGGTCATCCTGGGGTTTCGCACTGACGAGTGTATGTGTGTGAGACCGTGACTCCTCTCGGGGTTTTTCACCTTTCAAGTGCGCAGTGTTGTTGTTTTAGACCTACATAAGCTTCCCTCAAAGCTGTTTTCTGTGCTTTGGCAACCAGAGTCCAGGAGGAAAGACATGTCCATGACTCTTTGGGGCGAGGAGGGCGGTGTCTCTTTCCCTGGGGGGAACGGTCCCTAGGGTTTTCTCTGTGTGTTATAAGTAATCCCCCACATCGGTCCCCCAAAACACCACACCTATTGTGGGTTCCAACTGGTAACCACCCTGCAGGCCAGAGTAGAGCTGCCCCGTCGGTCCCCGAAGCTGCCCATGGCAGCAGACGCGGCTGGCAGCATCCCTCATCCCTCTCCCAAGTTGGGTCCCACCTGCGGAGGTTTGTGTGCAGAGGCGCGTGCTTGAGCACTGTGCCACCAGCACCTTCAGAATCTTGTTTGGGAACAAGAGCTGGCCCTGGCTGAGCAGTGCTGGGTGTTCGCATCACGGTTTCCCTCCTGCTTTTCCAGTTCTGCTTCTGTCCATACTCCCTTCTCCCTTTGTTTGACACGCAGCTCAATGCCGCGTGGAGGATGCCTTTTCATTCCTCGCCGCACCCAGATCGTACAAAGGAACTGAGAAAACAAATGACAGAATTAGCCAGGCTTAAGTGAAGTATAACCCACCCCTACCATTTTATGCGTAGTCATTTAAAAAACAAACAGTTTAAGATTTAGAAGGCATGGGAAATCATGACGGTGAAGTGTTCTTCTTTCTTTTTTAACTCAAAAACCTGTATGCACAGTATGACTTCAAAGAATAGCTATATGTTTGCTCTACTGATGTTTAACGGATTAAACACACCAAAATATGACGGTGGTTACCCTGAGACGTACTAGGCAAAATAATTCTGACTTTACTCTTGAGAGTGCTCTAGTTTTAAAAAAACGTTCACGGCTTCCTGCTATCACCAGAAAAAAGGAAGAAAAAAATTAAGAAAACAAGAAGGTGGGGGGTGGGGTGGGAAATGGGTGTTGGAAGGAATGGGGAAAAGAAGGAAAGAAATGTGAATTAATATTTTAATGCGTTTGCTGGAAGATTGGGCCATTCAGCAATGCAGTGGAGAGCGAAATCATATGCACAAAATATGTTAAGTGTGACTGTTGGATTTAGTTCAGGGCCTCATTGTGGAGGCCCGACTGCTTACCATGAGGAACTTGACAAGCTAGCCCTCCTCCGGGAGAGTGACAAATTCCCCTCCCTCGAGAAGGGGCAGTAAGGGCGCATCCGAGCAGGAAGTGACCGCCTAAGAACGGCACACTGCTTTTTACAGCCCCCCCCACCCCGAAGAATAATTTGACTCGAGTTATGCCAGTACTGTGCCTTACCTGAAATGGGCCTTGTGCTTGTGCGTGTGGGTGCCTCTTTAACGTCCTTCAGTGGCATCTACATCACGCCTCGGCCCTGAGGCCATCCTGTCCGCACCTCAGGGCATGCTGCTGCATCTCAGGGTACCGAGGGGTGCGAAATAAATACCAGTCTGTTTTCCTTTTTTGAATTATATATTAAGCTCATTTCCATTTCTGCTTTTCTGTTTTCTTTTTTCTTTCTAGCGCATGATTGCAAATACTGCCAGAACAGTGAGATACTGCAGAAGCCAGCCCTTCAGTAAGTTACCGCCGCCACATGCTGCAGTCTAGAGCGTGGTGATTAAGCCCTTTTTAATGAGCCACTGAGAAACTGCGAGTGGGGAGGACATCCGATGGTGTCACAGACACTGTGGACCAGGAATCCCATAGGCTAGCGTCCCTTGGCCCTAGGATTGTGTGGTGGTGGTGGTGGTGGTGGTGGTAGAAGATACGCTTGCTCTTGGTAAAACTAGAAAGGAGCCACCGAAACATTGTTTGGTGACGGGATTTAAGAGAATGTATTTGCTCTTTCCAGGGGGTCGGGGACAACGCGTAGACACAAGTGCCAGCAAACCTGGCCTTGCAGCCAGCTCCCTTTATGATTCATGGCTTGTTGTTGAGAGACGCACACCAACCTTTGATGACTCAGTGCTGTCGTTTATAAACTGGGAAAGATCGTATTTATGGTCTCTGGGTGTTGAGAGAAGGGATTCGTGCTCAAGCACGTGTGTCCAACATCCCACCAGGAATTCATGTGCTGCTTCTCAGTGTTCCCCGCCAGGGAACTTAAGGTGTTCTTTTAACACTTTTAATTTAAGGTGCTCTTTACATGTCGACCACAGTAACGAGCATTCCCAAGTGCCTTCCCGTGGGACCCTTTTCACAGGAACCCACTGTCGTCCGTGAGGTTATGCTCTGGCACTGCCACGGCCCAAGACCCAGGCAGGGGCCCCGTGAGCCCAGGCCTTGGCGGGGCGGGGGCTGGACGCCGGCTCCTGTAAACTGGACTAGAAGTGAGGAGGTGGATTCTATAAAGGTTTCTGTTAACTGCTCAGAGTGAGTCACTTACAGAAATGTCGTGAATGAGCTCAACAAGATAATTTGACGTGAGCATGTCTGGGAGGGCACCGGTGCCGTTTCCTCCAGGAAACCTGGTGCGGAGACGACAAGGTTCTCGTTTTATAGCAGAGCTCTGTTTGCGTTTCCTCACACAGCCCTGGCCCAAAGCCAGGGTTGGCTCCTACCGAGCGTCAGGACTACCAAGTGCTCGTTTTCAATGTACACAGTGGCTTAAAAAAACAAAACAAAACTAGGAAAAATCATGGGGAAGAAGTAGAGCTGCTCCTCTTACTTCCAACATGAGAATCTGCCTGCATCTCGTGAACCACCATTCCTAGGTGCATGCTGCCAGAATTCACGTCTCGTCTTTCCTCTCTCTATGTTTCTCCTCACATCGGGAGACATGTCCCTAAAGACAAGAGGAAACAAGAATATATCAGTGATATCTGTCCACAGCAGGAGTTCAAAACCTGGCCTCCATGGTTCTTCCAGGGGTGCAGGAGACATCTAAAATACTATCCCAGATGTTGTGTGCCGAGAGGATTCCTCACCTCTCGAAGGTCTTCTCTAGGAAGACCAGGAGCCAAAGAAGAAGCACATAGAAAACCGGCGTGGGAAGTAAATGCTGATTCTCCTAGACCATCTTGTAGAGAAAGAATTGGGGGTTGGGGCTGGGTGGAATTTTTTTTTTTAAGTCTCTAGTGCATATGTTGAAGTTATCAGTAACTTCTGGTAAACAACAGCTGCTCAGCTCTGAAGTCAACAAATCTATAGATAAAGCTATAGGAATAGATTCATAAACATTGTGGGACTGTGTACAATGTAATTACAGTATATTGTACATGTGGAGTACACTGCCAGTGAGAAGCCAAGGGAATTAAGCACAATGTGTTCCTCAGTGTGGTATTATTTATATGCGATAATTACACTGATGGGTTTCTTCTTCCGGCAAGTAGGGGCCTTTAGCTCGTCCCCCTGCCTTCTGTGTTCCGACCTGCAGCCCTCCCCTTCACCCCTGTGCAGATGGCAGTCCGATCTGTGGGAGTGAGGTGTGGCCCGCAGAAAGCATGGACCACAGCAGACAAAGCATGGGGCTAGCATCCAGGCCACGCCCACTGTCCCAGAGCAGATGGCCCACACTGGTCCCACATGGCTCAGAGGTGACCCACAGGTCCATGGCGAATTTTACAGGGTTGGATAGATAGACTTCATAGCAACGGTGTGTGGGTGTGTGTACCATAAAAGTCCCCCTTCCCCCCCATTTTATTTTGAAATGGTGTCACCATTTAAAAATGGGGAGAATCCGTGGGAAAGAAATCCAGATTTCCATTTTCTCTAGAAAAACAGAAACACCTGGCAGCTCTGGGCGCAGCCTCCCGGGTAGCAGCAACAAGCAGAACCTGAGTAGTCACTTCTGAAGGCGCCTGTGTTTCCAGTTCACTGCTGCCACACGTGGCCGGCCCTGTACATGTCTGTCCCCTGTGTGGGGCTGTCGGTACTTGATGTGTTTTTGCAACCCTGGCTTCAGGGAAATTAGCTGCCCTTTCCCCCAGTTTCTGGGGTATTGGCTGCTTCAGGAGAATTCCTCACCTGCCTGTTGGATTCCAGCCAGTGCCCTTCTTACTCAGCCAGCACCAATCTGCCGCAGGGGCAGGGCATCTTTCTACAATGCTGAATAGATTGCACTGGAGCTTCTAGACTGAGAAGGGGCTGGAGATCTCCTGCCCAAAATCAGCCAGTGAAAACCTTCTGGGTGACAATGGTTCGGTCCCTCACCTATCGGGAAGCAGGTCCCCCAGACCCAGGACTGACCCGACGGTAGCTAGTTGGCACCACATGCGCTCCACTCACTCACATGGGATGAGGATGGGAACAGAGTGACCACTGAGTTTTCAGAACAAGCAGCCTCCGAGAGTCAAAGGAGGAGCATCATTCCAGAATGCAGTCAGCACTCCAGCCCACCCGTCCGGGTTTCGTGTCTGAGTGTGGACACTGAGCACACAGAAGGGGCATTTTCTTTATGGGCAGAGGCCCCTTTGGGTGCATGCACCCAGTCAGGCCAGTCTGGAAAGGACAAGTGGAAGTGGAAGGCGGCAATACTTGCTACAGATGGTATGCAAATAAAGAGGGGAAGCGGGGCTTCGGAGTGTCACGAACGTGCTCCCGTTTGGTCCAGGGGGTAGGCGCTTTTGTCCTCAGCGGGTAAAAACTCCACTTGCCGCCATCCATCCTCATCTGGATCAGGGAGGGGACAGGTTTTGTGGGACCAAGAGGGGGGTTGGTCAAAGGGGAAACAATTTTAATCTATAACCAGGCACCATCCAGCGGATGCATTTTTTAAAATTTATTTTTCACGGCATCTTAGAATGGGCAGTGCTGAGGAAAATCATCAGAAGAGGTGGTTCCAGGGAAGCCAAGAAAATGAGGGGGCAAGGGCCGGGAGGAGGGGGGGGCTGTGCAAGAAGCCAGAGGGAGCCATGTCAGTAACGGCAGTGTGTGGAAAAGTCTCCACGGAGCCCAGGAGTCTGTGAAAAATGTAATAAATAGTTGGAGGGAATAAAGCTGTCGTTTAAGCGCACATATTATGCAATGCCAATTCTGCCCTTTTCCGCTTCCAACAGATCCCGATGCAGCTCAGGCTAATAAGAACCATCAGGATGTCCGGAGTTATGTACGGCAATTAAATGTGATTGACAACCAGAGAACTTTATCACAGATGTCACACAGATTAGAGCCTCGGCGGCCATAGACATTTGAAGTGCCAGAACAATAGCTCGTCTCCAGTCCACAATCTGTGTTCAGAATGCCATTTTATGCCACTATGGACGGACGGACGGTGTCGCCTCAAGAGGGAGTTTGACGCATCAAGCAGAAACGCATCCTGAGGCCTCTAGGGCTGTGCTCGCTTCCCAGCAAGTGACGCGGCGAGAGAAGGCATCCCCGGGCGTACCCACAGCTTGCACACGCTACCGTAGGAACCCCCAGTGGGTAGACACTCAGCCATTCCGAGTTGTGCATCTGCTCTGCTGGAATGTAAGGCATGGCGCCCTCCCACCGGAAGGGCCTGGTCCTAATACCATTGTCAAGAGAAGAATCAACCCCTGCCATCCGCCCCACCCCCCACCGAGTGTTTTAGGTTAAGATGTGCTACCAGTGGGATGCTCTGGATCCATTGTGGTGATAAGAGTTTCATCGTTTAGATTCAAGATACGGAGTGTGGGGTCTTAAAAAGAATACTATTGAAGAATTCATATACATGCCAATTATAGGTCGCCGTGTTCCATCTTCATAGTCTTACCTCAAAAGAAATAGAATCTGACCACATGACTTATGCCACATGTCTATTTATGTAGTGTAGGCAGGACTGGTCTGTAATTTCTGAATGATAGAGTAATATTTATGTTTACAATGTAACTTCTTACAATAAAATTTAAAAATCAGGATTACATATATTAGAATTCCGATCAGAAACTCCAAGGTTCTTAAAATTGCCAGGATTAAGATAGGGGAGAAAAAAAATCACCTTTCAGAAGAGCACAATATGCACAAAACTTTTTTTCCCCCCAAATTAGAATATTTTCCTGGGCATTAAAAATCTTTAATATTGGCTACAAATTATTGTCACTGATGAGAAAAAAATATTTTCTGCACTTAAACGTTATTACAAATATCTTAATTTTCAGCAATTCTTTTGCACTTTCAACTAGACTGTAAATAGTTCATTCAACCAATGGTAAAGAATTATTTATTTGCTATATAGTAGATATTGTGCCAAATAATTGCTTTTTATTTATTTTATTTAGTATGTAATTTTAGAGTACATTTTTTCCTATTTTCATCATTAGGCTACATTTGATGTGTAGGAATTATGTGTGTATATCTTCTGTAAATAACACTTAGTATCTTCATTAAATATAATTGTTGACAAGAGATGGTTGTGTTGTTCTACTTTCTGACTCTAGGCTCCCCTGGAATAGACTTCATATAGATGGAGTCTGTTTGGCATCTTTCCCTCGGTATCAGGTTTTCAAGTTCATCCATGATGTAGCACGGACAAGCAACGTTCTGTTTCTCCACTCATACCTGGGTGGACAAAGAGCCTTGGTGGCATAGTGGCCATGTGTTGGGCTATAGTCCACAAGGTCCGCAGTTCTAAACCACCAGCTGCTCTTTGGGAGAAAGACGGGGCTTTCTACTCCTGTAAAGAGTGCCAGTCTCAGAAACTCATAGGGGCAGTTGTACCCTGTCCTATAGGGTCACAATGAGTGGGCAGTAAGTGGATGCACATTCTGGCTCTTGTGAATAATGCTGCCACACTCATATTTTAAACTGCCCGATTCAGAGCCTCGTGCCATTTCTTAATGGAGACTGATTCAAGCGCTTAGTAAATATTTGAAGAAATTTCCCAAATCCTTCGCATTCCAGACATGCTTCTGTTTTTTAAGAAGTCAGCCTTCTCCAGAATGAAATCCAGATGGCACGGTTCTCCAAGCCCACTAGCTGCTTTTCGGAAATCAAACACAATTGCAAAGCAAGAGAGTAACCAGGGTATGTTCAGATCAATGTAAGCAAACGATTCCCAGTGTCTGGTCATCTGTCTGCGAGCAGTCTTGTAGTAATGTCTTTTAGTATCCTGCCGTTCACGCCCAAGCCGGCAGATGCCTCTCCGTGTTCATTGATGTCGTATTTCAAGGTCTTCAGGAGTTGGAACCTTTTTTATTCCATTTCAAGCCTCCCACCCAGAATCAAGGACAATACCTGGACTTTGCTAGATGATGGGGGGAAAGGTTATGGAGTGAATTTGCTTGAAGTCATCGTTCATCATTTTATTATCTCATGGGCATCAGTAGTAGCTACAAGGTTTTCCCATATATATATTTTGTTCTCCTTTTTCTGGATAATTTAAAACTACAAGCACAGATGTTGATGGCTCACTCTTTGGGCATCCTTTCTATAGCTCCTTGTTCACTCCTACTTGACGTTAAAAAATTCTGGGGTTGCTGTGGCTTAGGTACTGCGCTGCAGTTCAAGCCCATCCTCTCTCTCTGCGGCTGAAAGGTGAGACTGGCTGCTACCATAAAGATTTATAGTCTTAGACCCCTCCAGGGGGCATGCTGAGTCAGAATTGTCTGGATGGCACTGGGGCCTGACTAGATAGCAGGTACTGTTTAGGACAGACAGCTTCCTGTCCACAGTTCTGTGACGATTAATAAATCTAAGACCTATTTAAATTTAGTTTCAGCATTATAAAAATTAGCATATATTCTTTCATGTATATTCTTTTTTGGTCTTCCAAATGAGACTAACTCTTGCTGTCCTTAATCAAGGTAAGAGATTTCAATTAGGTCTGCCCTCTGAAAATGCGTTTGACTCCATTATTCAAGGTTAGGATGGTGAGATAAAAGAATTCGCAGTCTAAAACTATATGATGGGCACGCAGCCCCTCCTGAGGCAGGAGATACAGTTAATAGTTAAAAACTTGCAAACAAGCCAGAAGAAAATGAGATGCCTACGGGGTCACAGGAAGGATAGTGAGGTTTTCTGGAAGACGTGAAGAAGGCGAAAGAATGTTTTTATTAAACACATCTGTCGAAAATTACACATTTACGTGGCTTGCAGTCATATTCTGAGTGTCTTCGGACCGGAGGGGCTCATCCTCTGCACTACCTCTGACGACGGGTCCATGCTGCCCATAGGGGTTTCAGTGGCTGGTTCCTGAAATCCCAGTGACGCAGCCTCCGGCATCAAGCCCCCACAGTGTGGCAGTGTGGCAGACAACCGGTAGCTGCATTGGCACTGTGGTGCTGGCGAGGAGGACTGAAAGTCCCTCAGACTGCCAAAAGAACAAACGGGTAGCCTTGGAAGAAGTACAGCCAGATTGCTCCCTGGAGGCAAGGATGGCGCAACTTTGTCTTGTGTACTTTGGACATGCTATCAGGAGAGGCCAGTCCCTGGCAAGAGGCATCATGCTTGGTAAAGTGGAGGGACGTGGGGGTGGGGGAGGGGGAAGGCTCTCGATGAGAAGGGTTGACACAGTGGCTGCAGCAATGGGCTCAGACATAGGGACCATAGCGAGGCTGGCACAGGCCCAGCCCGTGTTCCGTCTTATACACAGGGTTGCTGTACATTGGCACTAACACGATGGCACCTACTAGCACCAACAGTAAAGTGGTTAACGTGTTTCCCAAGATCGCAGGTACCGTGTACAGGAGTTAAGGGAGTCCAGCAATCTTTGACTACCATGCAGGTTAATAGCCTGCTCCCAAATTCAATAGTTATTTCCTTTTAAGACATGAATGCAGATCAATGGCTAACAGTGTGAGAAAATGAAAAGATGTACTGTTCTAATTTCAGATTATGCTTATAATAAAAAAATCACTATATAGCATGGAGTGTGGCAAAGCGACCCCCTGCATTGAATGGCTCTCCTCCAGCTGTCGATCTAAACTGTATGATAGCTTGCTTCTGAGTAATCTTAATTTTCTCTCTTTGTCCTAGGTGGGAGAAGAGTGTGATGCTAGGAGGGGAGGCAACAGCACCCCAAGTCATAAACTAAAGAACCTTGAACTTAATTAGGTATTGTTACGTATCTCTCTGTTCATTCACTGACTCGTCAACAAATTATGAGCAAGGTGCTGAGTAAGTGCCAGCCACTCTGGGAGTTTAGGATTTAATGGTGAGAAAAACTAGAGAGGGTCTCCATTCTCCTAAAACTTATCATCTGGTGGGAGAGACAGAAGATTAACTAAATGATCACAGATCTAAATATGAACGTGCTCGCAGTGAAGGAGATGGTGCCAGGAGCAGTGGTAATAGGAGGATTTGCCCTGCTTCCAGGTGAGGAAAGTGGAAGGGAGGGCTGGCCTGAGTTCTCAGGGATGGACGCGCTAGCGAGCTCGGCCGTGAGAGGAGTCAGTTGTACTGTACGCAGTGTGATGAGCAGGGGCTCACTGTGGAGGAGCCGAGAGCACACCAGTGAGAGTGGGACAAGAGGGAGGAGAGCGAAGAAAGGCTCCGCATAGCTTGCATGTCTTTTGTTGTGTTAACCCTGAAACATGGGTGGCTCAGTGGTAGAATTCTCATCTCTGATGCAGGGGACACAAGTGCCACTTCAAGTCACTGCATCAGCACCCCTCTTTCAGTGAGGGCTTGTGTGTTGCTAGGATCCTGAACACAGCTCAGCAGAGTTTCTACAATGCACACAGATGAAGAAGAAAGCCCTGACTCCACGTGTCTGAAAATCAACCAACAAAACCCCGCTGGAACCCAACAGTCCGGTCCACTACTGCTGGTGCAGAGGGCCCAGGACCGGGCAGATTTGGTTCCCGGTGCATGGGCTTGCCACAAGTCAGGGGCCAAATCCCCAGCCACGCACAACCATGGTTTCTGAAGCCCAAGAGCCACTGAAGTGCTTCAATCAGGGAGATTTCACTACTTCATGTTGACAACCCTGTCTGCCCCTTACTGAGTGTCGTTGCTGGTTCCTAAATCAAATGCCTTTAGCACCGAGGCTTAAAACGATAGGGCAGAGGGAGGAGCGGATCATGGCAAGTCTCCTGGCTCAGGAAAGCCATGTCATTCTTAGGTGGACAAACAGGGCCACTGCAGTCAGGCCCAGCTTTCAACAATGGATTATCAGAAGCACAAACCCCAAAAGGGAACCCAGCGAGGCCTCGCAAACAACAGAAATGTGGGGGAATGGAGGCAGCGACGGTGTAAAATATGAAAATAAAAATAATTGACAAATTATCAAGGGTTCACCAGGGTGGGGGGAGGGGCACGGTGGGAGAAGGAGGAGGAAAAAGAGGAGCTGATACTACGGGCTCAAGTAGAAAGAAAATGTTTCAGAAATGATGATGGCAACATATGTACAAATGTGCTTGATACAATTAATGTTTGGATTGTTATAAGAGCTGTAAAAGCCCACAATAAAATGATTTTTAAATTTTAAAATGTGCATCAAATTTTTTTGTCTTTGCAAAAAACCCACAAACAAACAGATATGATAAGTCAGATAAGCTGACTGGGGCATATCTTTGGAAACCATATATCCAACAAGAATCTAATAACGAAAATACATGTAAAACTCCATCAATTTAACAACCACAAGACAAATAACACAATCTTGAAGTGAGTAAAGGAGCTGAATAGACATTGCACCAAAGAGGGCATTCAAATGGCCACCCAACACCCGAAAAATATATATTTTTAAAAAGCTCAAGGTCATTAGCAATCAAATAAATGCAAATCAAAACCACAAGGGATACTGTTTGTGTTCATGAGGGAGGAACAACTCAGTAAAGAGGGTGAGCACGGCGGCGAGGACAGCTCAACTCGGAGAATGTCACTAATGGGCACAGGCACAAATTGGTGAACCGGTGTGGTCATTACATTATCGGATGTGAATTTGGGACTTGAGAGAATTAAGAGTGAAGAGGTGGTGTCTAGTCTTTCAATTGGATCATAGCTAATGAGGCCTTTGGGTGGGCATGGCCTTCTCCTGAGGATTCTGGGAAATCCTGGATTTTCCTCCTTGGAGGCAGGAAACACCTCTCTCTTCTCATTCCCTGAGATGACGCGCTACTGATAAGACACGTGTGTATCCATCACCGTGTCATAAGCCAGCCCCAAGGGCAGGGGCTTAAAAACAACAGCTACTTCTTTAGATTATGAATTCATGGGTCAACCAAGGTGTGCTGCAAAAGTTCCTGAGGCTCAGCCTCAGAACGAATGTACTGTCACGTCTACATGTTGGCTGAGCTTGGCCAAGAGGTCTTTTGACAAAGTCATGTCATTCAGTGCGTGGATACGTGGAAGAATAGTCGCAGTCGTGTTTGCGAGTTGTCTGCTCACAAACTAGGTGCAGTGGAATGAGAGTGGCAAGAACGTTCACTGCCCCTTGTTTGCGGAGAGTTTTGGGGTGCTGATGC